CCCTTCCCGCCCATACCCTGTCTCCGATCTTTTTAACGTGCCCAACGGCCGCCTGTGCGTAGTGTTTTTCATTTATTAAAAGTGCACAAACCCCCCAACGAAACCCGACCCCACACTCCCCTCGGGGTAGGAAAATAACCCAAAAAAACACCCCTCCAAAGTGAGATGTTTTTGGAGATATAATGCCGGGGGGCCTTTTGGGGGGGGGGGGGGGGGGGGGGGGGGGTGTCTTGTTACCTTTTATGCCTTTAGCTCTTAAAACAGATATCCCTCATCCCTAATACTTCAAAGAATATTATCCCTAAAAGTCAGGGACCGCGCAGGGGAAGGTGATGGTGGGGGGCCTTACCCTCCCCCTCACTTTTTGCGCGTACATACAAAAAAAATTACGAAAATTTTTAGTTGCATTCATGGTACTGAGATTGAACAAGATATGACTGTTGCTGTAAAGATGCAATAATTATTGCGATTCATTTGCTGAAAGGACGAGCCGAAGCAAGTTACATCTTAATTTTTTCTTTGTTGGTTCTTTGTCAATTTTAGTTCAATATGGACATAGTATTATGCAGCCATTGTCTCCTGGGTTTTGCGAATACATTAAAAAGGTTTTTCATGACCCTGTAGATATTTCCCACCTTATAATCTAGCCTGCGATCTTATATAACCAATTAAATTGTTCTAAATTGACTAGTTAAAGCTATCTCTACTTGCCAACGAGCGAAGATTTTACCTATATGCGCGCGCTGTTCAATTTTTTTTAGAAATGTCATGAATTACCGTAATTAACGAAAAATAGATCGAACTCGAATCGATTGCATAACCGAAAATTACCTTGAAATACTGACTTTATATAGATAAGTATTCTAAAACTTAACGTAATCATAAACTAATGTTCTGCATTACGTCATCATAAAGTTACCTTACACTAATCGTGCCAAAATCGCCGTTCCGACCACTGCACCTCAGTGCCACACATGTTTTGAAATATTCATTGTGTTATATCAAAACCATTTTAATTTTTTTATACCAAAACCAATAAGACGGAGCACGTTTCGAAGGTGAGAATTTTTGAAACTCGGAAATGGCCTTTTACGTTTACATTATCAGCTGCATTGTTTGATATCGGATGAAGCGAATTCTTCCATCTTCATATATAGGATAGCTGAAAACTCTAAAACAGTTTGAGGCCAAAGTGACTACTTCCTACGGCCTCGAGCAATTGCTGTTCCGTTTTAGCAGCCAAAAATTTCAAACAGAGATTTATCGAGAACTCTTTCGTTAAAATGACAAAAATTGATACAGCTCAAGACAGTTGGTATGAAATACAAGCTCTTGTGCGCTATAAGTCTTATTAGCTTCAAAAGGGAATGTCTAGTTTTATCACAAATTATGGAAAAGTAATTATAGCAATGGCGTCACCGTGTTGACATGGATACATCGATCTCGAAATTTTGGAAACTTCAAGCCATACCACTATTCAAATATGCGATACAATATTTCATTTCCTGCTTTGTTTCTGGTAATATCTTCGTATTTTGAGTTCAAATAAAGAGAGTAGGTATTGTTAATGAAAAACCGAGTCAGGTCACCTTTAATAACAGCTTCCATACATCACTCAATAAAACCAGAATATGAATATCACTTTGTATTGATGCCCAGCGACTAAAAGATAACTATATTTACATTTATCACCAAGCAATAAAGGAATCTCAGTGCAGCACTGCAGAAATTAACGGCGGTCATGATGAGTCAGGTCTTGGTTTGACGTCACATTTAATGTTTTTTTCCGTGTGGTTTTGATTATTCGTAACTTTAGAAAGAAGGTTATGTTGAATTTCTATTGGTTTTACCTTTATTCTGACATTACAATTTTGCTGTTTGGGCAAACGTTTTGCATCTAGCTAGCAAGCGAGTACTATGTTTAAATTGTAAATAGGTATGTGACATCCGGGTGTGACATAAAAGACGGACGAACTATAAATACACTAGGGTGCAAAATATGTGCTTCGGAGAATTTTTATTTTACTAATACACCGAATCGTGCTAAACTGTTTTAGCATAATCAAGAATAATCCCGCGGAAAGTCAGCTCAATAATTCAAATAAATCATGGTTGAAGGGCTAATTTATAAATTGGGTCTCGTGGTTGTTGAACAATTCCCTGACTTCCCAGACCTTTTTAATATAGTGTCAGCCAACCGTTAAGTAAAGTTACTTAACTGACGTAAGTAAACCGTTAAGTAAAGTTACTTTTTAGCAATAACTTCTTCCGTTATATTAAGGCTGCTCTCGTTAGAGTAAGCAAATTTCTGACTACTACATACAGCAAGGACCGAGATAGTAAGGAAATAACTGTGTAATCCGCCAAGGTAAGCGTTTTACAATTTCACTTAAACTGACAAATTATTTGATCTCCTGAGGAAAAAATGTATTGAATTGAATGTGTTCGCTGCTAATGAGGTTTGATTGCGCCTCACTAGATCTGTAGTAAAATAAGCAGTTCTTCGGAAGAAACATTAAGTCAAGCTCTTAATTCATACTTGACAGAAAAAATCGGTGTGGTATCAGGGGAAATACTGAAGGAAATGCTGTATTTGAACAGATCCAGGTCCTTGTGGTGCAGTGCCTTGTGGTTCTGCCATGTATCTCAGTTTTTCTCATGCGCTGTTGTTAAGATATTTGTACAGTTCAGAATCGTTAAATTCTAGCTTGAGAGGAACGTCCAGCCAAACTAAGAACTATGCTAGCTGCGAAGATTTGGACTAATTACAGTTTCATCATGTTTTAATTTGAGGTAGTTCACACCGAGGAACAGTAAAATAGCTTGGCAAATACAAAGGAATGGTTTTGAAGAACGTGTGTGTTTTTTGTCAAGGAAACGCTTTACTCGGTTGATTATAAACAACTTATAAATACGCATACAGCTTGAGGATATTACTTTTTTTATGTGATAATCGCAGTTATAACTGCTGTCACTACGCAACCAAGGTCCTTAGCTGCCTCTACGGGACATTCTGTTTCGTGGCAAGCAAATTTCTCAGTTGTTTTTTGTCGCGAAACATTATGTCCTGAAATGACGTCACAATCATTCCCACTCTCCAGTTTTTAGTTGCACGAATTTATACCCCACCAGGAGAGGAATTTCACTTTTTTGGTACGTGAAACCACGAGAAAGAAAAATCGATACCAAATTTTTTTCATTTTTCTCTCCTTATCAGGACATTCTGTAGATTCTATCAAGCAAATAGAGAAAATTAAAACCTTCTTGACTCGCGATAAATTACATACATATCTTTTTTGTACAAGAAAGGCAAACAATCTCTGATTTTCCGTTGAGTGCCGTTATTGTACAGGGATCAGAGGACTGTTCAGTAATTCAGCATTTTAAATAGAAACATTTTAGAAGAAGGGCATGTGATTTAATTCTAGTACAGACACTACGTTACTATGTTGCTCAATATCACGTATTCACGCATAAAAGTCTTTATGATTACCTGACTTAATGAATAGCGGAAGAGGACCTGGGCAATAATCTTTTTAAGTTGTTTCAGCAATAGCAGACCTTATATGTGAAACTAGTATTATCGATCATAATCTTAAAAAAATGGTTGTAGATAGTAAGTCAAACTTTTTACTTTCATTTTATTTTTGCGGTCAATTTAAGAAATAGAACATTGGCATTACTCCCAGTCTGCCACGATAGCAGAGCCCTGGCCATCTTTAAAAGAAACGTTTCGTGCCTTATTTTTATCCATCTTCTCTTTAATTTTCTTTATTTTTTCCTTAGTCATATCATAGTTAGTAAAGTGGAATGGTTATGTAACCCGTAAGACTATTTTTTATGTTTTTGTCAGCTTTTTTGGACTTGACTGTGCACAACGTTCAAAAGCATTCCTATCATTTTGAACTTACTGACCAATAGAAACATTGATTTAATTTATTCAGTCACAATTTTTGAACAAAAAACAAAGGATTGTGCTCGGTCACGGAGCTTTCAACATAAACTACAGCGCCATTGCTTTCAAACAATGACATATGGAAACTAAAGAAACTTAGTATCTATCTCTTCTCGCCCACGCTGTGCCTGTGCATTTTTGTGCAACTACAGATGATTAAGGCCTGAGCTCATGATCAAATGTAATGTATATTTTGCAGAATGAAATCAAGAAAGCAAAATGGCATTTAAACAGAGATTTCGCTTAAATCTGATCCAAGAGGCTAAAACAGAGCTAGACTTTCTTGCTTTGGTAGATGATTTTCCCAGTTTGTATGCGGGTCCTGTTCTCAAAAATGCTATCAGGAGATATGAAATGTTCTGGCTCCCACTGGCAGCCAGAGAGGGTAGCTCCAGTAGACTTCTTGCAGCTCCACTAGACATTGCTTGGGTTTGGTATCTTCACATGTTGTCACCACAAGATTATGAACAGGACTGCATGAACATTGTCTCTCAAGTTGTTGACCACTTGCCCATGAACAGATATGAAAGAGAACGAGGTCTTCAAAACGCACGATACTTGTGGCAGGACGCATATCCTACAGAATGGTTTGAGGTCGACCTAAACTATCCTACGCCATTTACTATGCCGTACGGACTGAAAATTCGTTATGACATCGAAAAAGCATCTTATAACCAATCCAAGTTCTATTATCAAGTATCGCTCCCACACTTTAGCGATAACAAGTTTCTGGAAAGCGCTGTTCAGCGATACGAACACCATTTGCATCTCAAGAGCCAAAATCCACAAGTTCCTATGGTCCCGTGCACCGATATGGACTTGATTTGGCACGCACACCTTCATCACCCGCTGAACTACAAAGAAGTAACTTCAGAAATATTCGGGTCAGTAGTCTATCCTGGAATCTATGACTCAAGTCTCAGCCTTGGACTAACTTTGGACGATTCTGAGACTGGTACGAGGGCTGTATCTTCTGCAGCGGGTTTCAAGTATGACAAACCAGGAACCGGGTACAGAGGTGAGCCACCTCAACCCCGACCTCCACGACAAAATGGGCTTTACTCCTCCTTGGGAAGGCTCCGCTATGTCATGAGAATATTGCAAGTAGAGCTGGTAAATGTGGATGTGAGCAAAAAGTTTGCTGTCCGAATTTATGATCCTATGGGCGGTCTGAAAGTGGATACAACGATTCAAGGTGGAGTCCGTCTTAATTTAATGTCCCAGTGTATGATTGACAACGAAAATCGTCACACGATCACGGTATCTTTACACCAGAAAGCACTACTTGGTTTCGAAAGGTCTATTGGTTCATCTGGGTCGAATTTGCTGTCCTTTATTGATGCATATACATACGGTGGAATACCTCAACAGCCTTGGGTGATAGATGTTCCCTTTGCTGCTGCACAAGCTATCGTGAGGCTGTCAGCCATGTTGGACCTTCCGTCCATCGAAGGCTATCGATTCAAAGTTCAGCCAGACCCTTACTTTGCAAACGTTAACCATCCTTGTTTTGTACTCAGTTTTCCACAGTCGATGTTCTTACCAAAAGATTTTGCAAAAGCGTACCTGCCTTGCGAATGTGCAACTCACACTTTGTTGGACTGCAGAGGGCGGGAGGCTTTCAAGTGTCGTGTTGTCCACAGTGTTGAAGGTTTGCTATCGGTGGTGGAGATCATCAGTGTTCACGGTGTTGTTGTTGCATCTGCTCACACAATGGATCTCAACGCTCTTCCCGAAAAAGCAGCGATTGAAGATTACACGAGATGCGCTTATTTAAACTGCGTGGAGGGCGAGCGAGCGATGGTTATTAAAGGTCGAAAGGACTGGGGCATCTGCATTGGGAAATGGCAGAGAGGAAAAATGTTCAATCGTGTAGCGGGCCAAGTGGAAATCAAATTTTTCAAGCTCAAGGGGCTGAGAGGCTGGTGTAAAGTACGCAAATTCAAGGGTGGCCTTTACTTGGTCTACCTGGAGCCAGCTGTCTTTGTTTACGTGGACTTAAAGAGGGGATTGTTTGTGTTTTCTCCATTGGCACAAGATGTTCCAGAAATCGTTGCTTTTGCCTTCTCGATGTCCATTCTCTATTTGCTCTGCAAGCCTTACAATCCGACAGCGGCGAACGTTTCGTCACCATCCTTTCACAAGAAAGCCAAAGAAGATAAGGTGACTCCTATGCTTCTTGCTGCTGGATACAAAAGCTCTATAGTTCCAACTAATGTCTACCTTTCACGAAGCATTAAGAGCTTTTCAGCATCAGGTCCATCCCTGGACGGTGCGGGAACCTACGATCTTGATTCAGAATCTGGTCCCGATTGGATGATAGAGCTCATCAAGAAAAAACCGGAAGCATTATTGTGGTATCATATGAGCGGTGTGCCCTACGAACTCCCGACCAAAAAGGAACGTACCAAAAGTTCTGGGAGCTGGATGAGAAGTGGTGGTCCAGGAGGAGTAGGAGGTGGCGGAGGAGGAGGAGGAGGAGGAGGAGGTTGCGGCGGTGGTGGTGGGTGTTAAGAGAGGAGAAACGGATGTTTACCTATGTTACCTACATAGCTTAGATGATAAACATTCTTCTGCGCAGTTGACTATTTTACTGCATCAGAAGTGTAGGAAGGCCAAGCATCTGACCTGAATAATGAACAGAACATAGACTGATTGAATGTTGCCAAAGGAAAGAGTTTTAATTGGGTGATAATGTTGCTATTTTAACCGACTAAGTTTATATCTGTCAGAAAACAAAAAATACTAACACTTTCAAGACATCAAAAGTTTAGAGAAGCACAACATCTTACCCAAATAAGTGCACATGGCATGTTGAAATGTGTCAGAATCCCTGAGAAAGATTACTGGGATTATTGTAGTAAATAGTTTAAGTTTTAACAATTTTTACCTTATAATCAAGTAGATGATATCCCTTTTTGGGTAATCTTACATTGTAAGCAAGGTTGGTATTTATATAGTCATTCAAGTTTTAACAATTTTTACCTTATAATCAAATAGCTGATATCCCTTTTTGGGTTATCTTACAATGTAAGCAAGGTTGGTATGTATATAGTCTCATCAAAAGTAGGTTGAGTTTGATCGTCCGGATGAACGTATTCCTGAATAGGATTGTTGTTGTTGACAGTGACGGACGTTTCGACAACCCATGCAGTAGTCATCTTCAGAGTCAAAGTGAGTGGCATCACGTCAGTTGATGGTATTATACTCTGGTTATTGACCTGATTGGTCAATTATGTCGCGATGTTATTGGTCGTCTGTCAGTTAAGCCGTGATGTTATTGGCTATGAAGACTCGTTATGTAATTGGTGCGTTTCGATCCGTCTATTTTCACAGTCAAGCAGTCGTATATTGTATATGTTATGTTTTAAGAGCCAGTCTCTGTATTTCAAAAACAGGCGCCAAAAAGTTGTGACCCTCTCCTAACTAAAAACTAATAATCAACAATGGTCTCTCTCTGGACATATGGGAGCCCATACAGTCTTAGCTCTCCCCTCTAATTTGGTCTTTTGCGTCATAAAGTTGAAAAGTATTATACTAAAATTCCAAGTATCGTGCTTTCTCTTTTTTTTGGTTTTTTAGACTTCCCGTATTTCCTCTAATAAGCACCTAGGCCCTTATTTCAAATTCAGCTAAAGGAGGGGCGCTTATTGGATGGAGGTCACTTAATCAAGGGGAGCCCTTAATTTAACAAATGGATTGTAATTTTACTTTGTCGAAATATTTAATAAAAAAACAAGAGAAAAACTACAACATTATCCTCAAAATCCCTAAGTCAATATTTTAAATTTTTTTGTTTCGTCTGTTGAAACAGTTGTTGGAAATCAAGCCTTCCGTAATCCTCATACAGTTTACTCACTTTTCAAAGTAATGTATCGGTGCATGTATACAAAATATCGATTATCTAATCATCCTCGTCCGTGACATGCAGATCGTCGCATTCCTCTTGCATTGCTCCTGTTCCAGAAAAAGGAGTTGAGGGAGGGGAGCGTTTATTCGAGAGGGCCGCTTGTTTGATATTATGACCCGGGGAGCTTTTATTTGAGAAAATGCGGTATGGCAACTTACACAACAGTCAAAACGCAGCTTGAGACCATTATCTCCACTGAGCTAGCCTTTTTGTAACGAAAGTTTAGTACATTGTGATGGAAACGAAGTTTATTGAATTCAACTTTGAAAACGTACTTGTTATTTTGACTGTTGGCAACATTTGTCTAAAAGAGTTTACTAAAATGTACCCAAGGCGTCCTTTTCGCGAAAACAAAGTGTCCACAAAGTTCTGCGATACACGTATTTCTAGTATATTTGGATAGTGGTATTCCACTAGCCGTATGGTGGGAACTGTGCCTTGGAAAAGTTAAGGTGAGCATTTAATTGACAAGTCTATAAGCCGTAGGCCCCGTCTCACAACCCTTGCACATATAAATTTTGTGGGACGTTAAAGGACCCACCCACTGTCCTTAACGAGTAGGGGAAGTAGTCCCTGATGTGGTGGTCTATCTCTCCTGGGGGGAAGTACATATATCATACATCATGATATACACACCGCGCTTTTATCAGCCTATTCCAGGCGTTCGGCGATCACCCCCACCCCACCCCCTCGTTTTTGTTTCTGCTCACATCTCTTTGCGATGTGCCTATGATCTGAACGCCTGGAACAGGCTACGCTTTTATTGATTCTAGCTGGGATGGTCCTACCCTGGCTTCAGAGGTCTGTTCTCGAAATACCATCATGAATGAGATTAAAAAATAGCCTCTGGAACCTAGAGGGGATGGTCCATTAAGGGTTAAAAAGAAGTCTAAGGGCGTTTTCCATTTGACAGAACTGGCCGGCCGGACCATTGCCCGATCAGACAGAAGAGTTTTTGCCGAAAAACCATCTCCTTCGTGCATAATATTTAGGATTTGACTGATCTGGCTAAACAGTTTTGATTGAAAGAGAAATTATCATTGCGACGGGAATGGTCTGGCCGGTCAGTTCTGACAAACAGAAAGCGCCCTAGAATCTCTGGCCATGTAGGTTCTGTCGCATTGCTCCGTATCACATGATCTTATAGAGTATTTATACCAGAGGATGTCTAAGACTACTGGACGGACTGAAAAGTCAGGATCCGGTTCCTGAAAGCTAAGGCGAATTAGCGCTAATCCAGGATTAAATTTTGTTCCGTTTTTGTATTTTACCTCCCTATGTGTTGCTTAGAGTAACATTTTATGTTATCATTTTTGTATCTCGGAGTAAAGACCCAACAGTATTTTGTAAGCTCGAGTTGCACGTTCTTAGAAAAGAAAACCTTGCTTTAAGTTTGGCTTAATCTTGTTTGGGTTAAACTTAACCGTCTTTCGAGGAACCGGGCCCTGGCTGTTTTATATAGACCAGTCACTGAAAACTCTCTCTCGTCTCTTACTAGCGACGACTTAACCTTTTTAGAGGAATTAAAAACGTCAGTCTGTTAAGTGCGTTGATTAGACATACTCAGATGACTTAAGGCGTCGAATAGACCCTCCCACGGTTTTTTCAGGAACTTTTGATAAAGAGCAGTAAGCGAATATCCACCGATCAACGCTGCTGGAAAGAGGGCATTAAAATATGGTAACTAACCAAGTTGAAGGTGATAAGGTTAGAAGAGAGCAAAGAAATTGCTTCATTCAATAAGTAGAGAAATTTTACTGATATGTGTATTGTGGAAAGGGGGGGGGGGGGGGGGGGGGGGGGGGGCGGGGATTTTTCCCCCCTTTTTTCCCCCCCCCGGAATGGGGCCCTTTCGTTTGCCCACAAAAAAGGAATTTCGGGGGAAAACCGGGGAGGGACACAGGAAAATGCGCGTGGGGAGAGAAAAAAAAACCCCCCCCCCACGGGGGGTTTTTTTTATAGGCAGAAGTTAAAACTAATAAAGTGTCTAGAATAAAATATTGAACATAAGTGTTAAGATTTGTAAGGTGGCGGGGGTGGGGGGGGGGGTAAGGGGGGGAGGCACGGACTTGTCCTCCCTATTTTCGCTAGCCCGTAATAGGGTCCATTCGATTGACCTCAAAAATGGCAATTCGAGCGATAGACCGGAAGTGTAACAGCGAAATGACGCTGTGGAAGTAAAACAAAACGACCTGCCATGCAGGGTTATTATTGTATGACGAAAGTGATAACCTTTCCTTGATCAGTTGAGTGTTAAAGTTTAGACCTGCCTGTAGTTCTTCAGGTTCGTTGAAAAAAACGTTATTTCACACTTGAACGTTTAGACATACATGTACAGTGAAACCCCGCCTTACGGCCAACCACCTCGGTAATTCGGTCACCTCGTTATTACGGGCACTTTTTTTGGCTGCCCGGCAGAACGGCTATACATTGTCTTGTAAAAAAACCCTCGTTAGTACGGCCAATTTTTTTGTCTCATTGGTGACGGTATTAACGGGGTTGCACTGTATTAAAAATAACTATCTAAGAGCTCAGCCTTTACTCTTAAAACGTTTTGTCCAAGTCATCATCCAGGGAACTTTTAGAGAGCTTTATATTCGAGTACAAGGACGAATAGGAGCCCTACATTTAACTTTAAGTTTTCTCGCCTATTGTCTGAAAATAGAAATACCGGGAAGCTTCATTGTACTTTTATTCACCACAAAGTTAATACGCTTATTTCCGTTGAAGGAGGTGAAGCCCTTTCCCTATTACTAAATGATAAAATTCCTAACATTTGAAACTTGTTTTCACTACTACGACATCCTCGGTAAAACTCGTGGTAGAATTACGATGGCTATCACATTTTCCCGCAAAATGACGTTGGTTCGCTCGCGCGCAATACCCAATATTGAGAAAACCAGGTTCTCGTTGTCGTCCTCGTCTTAGAATTTAAAGCTCTATGTCAGCCGCAAGTTGACGCTCGTCTTTCAATCTCCTCTTAACTGTTTATTGAATCCTTAGGGTTTGAGAGAAGTGGTTTTGAAACCAAAGTGGAGGGGATTACCTCAGAACGTCCTTTAAATACCCTCTATGAGCAAAAAAAAAACACGTTTCGTTGTACTTTTAGGATAATTATTAGAGCGCTGTAATGTGTACAATGCAGATAGCGTTGTTCATCCAAGATGGTCGCCCGTAACAGAAAGTCTTCGATCTCGACGATCTTACGGGAAAATAGGGGACTGTGAACAGTCTAATCGCGTTGCAGTTGGTCAAATGTGCATTCAGAGACATGATGAGTTCACTTAAAGATCAGCGTCACCACGAAGCACTCAGAAGGCGCTGTTTTCAGACTTACTTGAGAGACAATACATGAATAGCCCGTCCAATTCCCAAAAGCCCAAGAAAACAATAGGAGCTTTTTTTCAAAGGCTAATGAACGAAGAGATTTCTGAGAGCTTCCTAGCTCAAGAATCATAGTGAAACCTTCGGCAAATTTAACGCCCGTCGACTTTTCGCTTTTAGGCGCTCAATCGAAAATAGAGATTTTAAAACTCAGCAAGTGATGACCATAACAGAAAGTGTCCAAACTCCAAATATGACACTTTTTTGAAAAGTAGGGAATAAATGCATAATTTGGGATGCTTATTACCATATACAAGCCATCTTATTGTGGTCTTAGGAAATGAAAATAATTAGATAAAAAGGGTTATGTTAGATACAAATGAATTGATGTCGCTAACCATACCGTATTTAGTAAGAGGACAGTAAGATCCAATTAAAGCTCAGAATCCATCAGTAGCAAGACAGAGATCGAATCACTCTGGTGTCCCAAATGAGGGCTGCAAAACACCTCTTCCCCTTTTTTTTTAACTGAAATAAACACGCGTAACAAAATAATTATCCCACTCGAAGAATCTTACTTTGACAAGTGACATAAGACTTGGGACCTGTCCGTTTGTTCAATGCAAGTCTCTTCATATTCAAAATTACTCAGGTATATCGGATTTAAATTTCCAGACCTGGATTTGTCTGGATATTGGTAACTGAAGATAATTACGGGGGGAAATACGTTCTGGTTTCTGGGAAGAGTCTTGATAAAATGACAAGAGCCATAATGGGTCCCATTATGGCTCTTGTAAAATGAGACAAATATATGGAAAATCTAAAATAAGCCTCTGGAGAAATTTAAGCACAGGTACGCCCCCAAAATGTTTAAGTACAATCCTTTGCTTTGTAACTTTAGGTTACAATTGATATTTTTTTCAGAACAGCAGTTTTACGGAACTTATTCGACATTAGATTCTCATACAAACACTGTAATTTCTCACACGTTTGCCTACTCGTCAACATGGCGTCGAAAACCGTGACAAGGTCTATTACTTTCTTAAAAATTTCAAAAAAACAGATCTCGATATTTTATATATATACATTTTCCAAAGCAGTTCTCGGGAGTTTTCGCATTTCAAGTTTCCTTGCCTGACCGGAATTCTTCATCGAGAAGAGGGCTAGCGTTGGCTTCAGACGATAATCTTGATCAACTTTTACTTGTAGCCGGCTAACTGTGTCCGACAGAGAATCGATCTGTGCCTTAATTAAGGTCTTGTATTTTCTTTCCTATATCCTATTTTAAACATGCCTTACTCTGTTGCCAGTTTTAAGAAAGAAATCCAACAGAAAAACTAGTGAAGAGTTCAAAATTTAAAGAAGCTTAAAACTCAACCTCCATTTTTGTCAATACAACTCATCGCTGACCGATTCCACTCCGTTCGACCAACTCAACAAGAACCTTGGCCATCACCACCTGAATACCCTCCAAAGGCACCACAGACACTACCAACCCCTTTATCGCAATAACCTCGAGCACCAACGTAACCAATATTTTCGCCTTCGCAGCCTCCTTCATGGGTAAGGCTGCCATCAACTTCTTTGTGGTCATCATCAGTTTCCCCGCCAGCAAGGCTTTCCCAAGTATCGTTCGTATCATCAGAATCTTCACTTGCTTGCCCTGGTCCCGCATTACAATTATAGCAAACCTCATCTTTATCAAAATCATAGCTTACATTACCGTCAAACCTGTACGGAGGACGGAACTCAAGAGACGCGCACTCAATGTACGTATTCGTTGGCACGGTGTGGCATAAATATCCAGCAGTCTGAAAAATCGGTGAAATCCGATCTGTGCCGCGAATTTGGTCACTGGGAGACGATTCCATGGACCGCTTTGCTATGTAAGGCATGCACAGAAGATGGAGAACTGCTACGGACAATGCGAGGGCGATAGCTTCAGGGATGGCTTGAGCTTGCGGGGAAAGAAAGATCTTGCTCTTTCGCAAGTCCAAGCGGATCACAGTGTTGCGATCCATTTTTATCACGAACTTACCGAATGCCGACTTTTTTACCGCACACCAACTGGGTTTGTCATAAAGTTTAAAAACTTTAATTTTAACGAAGTCCTCGTAATGTCTGTAAGGCCAAAATCCTGGCTTTATTTGGTGATCCCATTTGGCCACGCAGACAGCCCAATCTTTTTGACCCCGAATGAGCATGGCTCTCTCCCCCTCATTTGGGTCCAGTACTATACACGTGTTTGCATCTCTAATGGCATCTTTGTCTGGCAAAGAAGCCGAGTTGATTGTGTGAGCAGAGGCATCAACCTGTTGATACAGATTAATAATTTCAACAGCAGACACCAGGCCTGCTGACGAGTGAACTATGCGATATTCAAATGCCTTTCTTTTTCTCCAGTCAAGCACACTCTGTGTAGCTACACTGCAAGGCAAGAACTTCTTTGAGAGATCACTTGGAGATAGGACAAGCTGTGGATCGCGGAGATAAGCAGATGGGTGTTCTTGAGGGGAAAACGTACCGACGCTCACTTTGAAGCTGTATTTCTTTAGATTAGGTGGATGTATCTTAATTGCTACTTGTGCTGTGTATTGGACTTTATCGTTGCCAAACAAAATGCCTACAGACCTAGTCGTTGTGTCGTTCACTGATGTATCCTCAAGAGACGACAACAAACTTACAGACGACTTTGTCACAAATTCTCTTTTGAAAAATAAGCTCCTTTGATAAATCAAAGCTGTGATAGTGTGTCTTTTATCATTGTCAACAATAAACGGTGTGGCGTTCAGATCCTTGACTGCACGGTTACCTTAAAGGAGGAAAGAAATGGTAAAATGGTCAATGGCCTTTTTTTAAATTTACTTTTTGTGGCTGTGTTGCTTATTTATTATGGAGTTTTGCTAAAAAAAAGGTCCCTGTTGCCGTGTTAAGGTGCGGTAAAACGTGCAACAAAAAAGGGGGGAATTTGAAAATGTCGTTTTTGTACCAACTTGGTAAGCGTATGAATCGAGGGTCCTTTTTTTCACTTTCGAAACCAAAAAAAGTGCTGAAACGTTTTTTTTTTCTTCGAGTAAAATGCTTCGCGGTATTTTCACCGGTAGTAACACGTAACGAAAAGTGGCCCGAAAACTTCCCTAACACGGTTTTAGGCTGCATGAAGAAAGCGTCGCTACTAGGCTCGATTTCCGTCGCTCTGTCAGTCCTCTCCGAGAACAGGCAAAACAAAAACTTACCTTTGAAAGAATGCGACAAAATATCTTGTTCTTCCGGACCGACCAGTTGAATATAGAAGGTTCTCTTGCCCATGTTGAACGTTTCTACCTGTAGGACATCCACGGTGTATTCACAGCGAGCAAAAGAAGCGTACAGCCACAAAGGTCTAGGTGGCAGTGGGTCTGGTGGATCTCCTCTGCGCATTGCCCCCGATTTGGTAAACTGCAACCCAGCTGCTTTCCACACTTTTCGTGTCTCTGCTTCACAATCCTGCAACTTGGACCCTGGGCTGCAGCTCTTTACCGCATCATGATGATGCAGTAGACATCCCAGGAACTGTGTTGTTGATTGGTTGTAATTTACAGGGTGAAGTTGGTGAGCGTGCCAAATGAGGTCAAAATCATAGCATGGGACAATGAATACTCCTGGATTTTCTTTCGTCAAATGAAGATGGTGTTCATAACGCTCAACAGCTTCCTCCAGAAATTGTGTATCTTTATAATGTGGTAAAGAAATCTGGTAGTAGAATTTAGATTGACGGTAACTCGCTTCCTCCAAATCGTATTGTTGGAGTTTGCTTTTCGTCTTGTGAAACTTTGATAGGTCTGGTGATTGGCTGGGGTCAACGTCAAAAGGCTCATCTGGGTATTCTTTTTCCCAAAGGGACTTTGCTCTTTCAAGTCCATTTTCGAGATGGACTCCTCTTAAAGGCGCGTGATCAACTATTTTAGATACACAGTTAATACAGTCTTGCTCGTAGTTATATGGCGCCAACATGTGTACATGCCACACCCAGGCAATGTCTAGTGGAGCTGCTAGAAATCTGCTCCCATAGCCTTCCTTCGCCGCCAGTGGCAGCCAGAAAACTTCATATCGCCTGATCGCATTCTTAAGGAAGGGGCCCTTGTACAGGTCCGCAGGATACTCGTCAACTTGTCTCAAAAAATCCAGCACATTCTTAGCTGCTTGCACCAGGTCAAAATCAAGTCTTGAGCAAAATGGTTTCCGATACATACCTTTTTGCTATGTTGAGTGACGGCAAGTAAAACACAAAATGAGTTTCGTTATATATAGGGAAAGGAACTATGAAAGAGATAATTGTCGTTTGGTTAATCTCAATGGATCTGACAAAAAAAAACAAACTACGAGATATCATAGAAACGATCGAAACCCGAATGGAATTGGGCGAGAAGAACAGACAACTGTTGGACAACCCTCATTGCGACGCCCCGGGGACACCTTGAATGGGAACCGAGGAAGACAAAGGACGAGATGGAGGGATAACTTAGATCGTTCAGCAAAACACTAGCATGGTGCTGCGCAAAACGTGGTCCAGTGGAGGTCAATGTGTCTCTCCTACGTGGTCGTTTCGCCTTTCCTGCCAGAATTTCATTTATGAAGCGAAACCTGTTCTCAGGTTAAATGGCGAAGGTCTACGTCCAACGACGGACATTCAACGGCTGAAACTGAACTGAACTAATTCCAAACGATTACGAAAGATTGGAGTGAAAGGCAAGAGATTTTCCCAGAATTGCGTGACGAAAACGTTTGATTTTAATAAACGTGATGGTTTTCGTGCCCCCCAAATTTTGCATATGTTATTGTATTTAAAAATGCTTTAGCGAATATGCAGTCCTCCCAGTTGCATCTGAAAACAACAGTTTTATGCTTCTCTCTTGTTTATGCAAAATTTTAAGTTGAAGGGAGGGGGCAAACAGACGGTATTATACGGGATTGCGTGATTAAACAATGTAAAAAATATCCGTTTATGTTTGCATAAATTCTAATGGGGATAAAACGGGCAACAAAAACGTGTAACTTGTTTGGCAACATTGCGCGTTTTTAATATACGTTTAATATAATCCACGAAAACAAACCTTGCAACGTTATTTGTTGCCAGGCAGGTTTGAAAGTAAGTGGTAAAACGCGCAATATCGCTATTCATCAATGTTGCAGACAAGTTGCACGTTTTTTTTGTTGCCCGTTTTACCCTACCTTAAAATTGTTCAAAGGTGCACTGTGGTAATAAACGATTCGGCAACTCATTGTAAATAGCACAAAATCGCTTCTAACCGTGTGAATAATACTTATTAGTAACCTGTTCACAGGCTATGCGGATAATCATTAGCCTGAATTTCATCCGATTGCTTCGAGTCGTTTCCTCCTGTCCGCGACACTAGGCAATCGGATGGAATTCAGGCTAGGGTTGGAGCTTGTAAAAGGATAAGAGGTACCCGAATCTCCAAAATCTCACCTCAGTAGCGATTTCCCTACGCTGAACCTCAGTCACACAAACATATCCTTGAAATAAGCTCGACCTGAGCTTTTTACCCCACGCAGATATTACGCAATCTTTCTCCGTCTAGCAGGCGTGATTTAATTTCTTATTTCCGGTCACACAATTCGGTGGGAGTTGTAATTATTAGTTGGTAGGTGGAATGTACAACCTGTAGTGGAGATCAGCAGAGCACTAGGCTATTCAACATGACGTAAACATTCGTTTAAAATAAACGTTTTGGAGGAGATGTACCCCGCGTTTCGCCTCTCTGGTGTGGTGTGAGGGACTACTTGTAGTCTATAGTGCAAGAGGTTTCCCCCGCGTACCCTTGGAGGGAAAGGGGACATTTTTGTTATTCGCCTTTTTTCTCCGCAAGAGCTAATACTCAAATATTGAAAACGCAATTAAAAGTTGAAAATTGCAAGTCTGAGTGAGAACAATCGATCGTTTTCATGCCTTCAGGAAATTAAGGAGTCTATACTCCAGACGAATCTCAAAAATTAGTTCCTGCAAAGCTGACAAAACATCACTGTGTAACTGTAAACCTTCGTCGGTTATTTCAGCCCCGACGAAGGGCTTGCCTTCCACTTTTTCCTCGATTTTGTCCGCATCCGGCCACAAATGGTTTAATTGGGCAGGGAGGGGTGGGGGAACAGATAATGTCTAGTCGCCAGAGCACTGGGGTAAAGTAACAAAAAGCGGAAAAATGCTAATGGCGGGAAATCACAATTTACTATTGTTCAAAACACGGCACGCTGTTTATTTAAGGGAAGAAATAGTTTACAACCGTTCTTGACTCGAAATTTTTTCTTAGAAGTTGTTTTCCTGTCACAGAAATACATGACATAAGTTATGTTCTCACAGTGTACAATCTCGGAGCAGAGTTTGTCGGCCGAGCAGGACTATCAACACATGTTTGCAAATAATTTGAAGAGAAAACTCGAAACCGACCAGAGAAATGGCTTTACTACCTCGATGGATAACGAATTGTGTACCCAAAGGCAGGACAATTGTATCACAAGCGAGGTAGGTTGCTTCGATGCCATTGATTTGAGGCCGCTTTTGTCTTCTCAGAAAATATTTTCACAAGAAGTTGTTCCCCACCGCACGTACTTTGATAGAGTTGATTGATCTTCACCTTCGACATACAATGTACGCTGTAAACTTCAGCACTAAAAATAGGAAATAAGTTAAAAGTTAAGCTAATTTCAACCCCAATACGTTGTAAATATTCAACTCTTTTGATTTTTATATACAGAAAAGACCACGTTTGTCAGGACATTTTACCAGTGATCAAGTGGAAGCCGCACAACAGATTTCCGGAAATGTCGAGTTTAACTTAAATTATGACCAAACTAAAAACAGCTCTGTTGTTTATCCCAGTGAAGCTCGAAATGAAAACGTTATGGGAACTGATTCTTTGCTTCAAAGTAATTTGGAATGGAAAGCATCAAGCGAACTCGAGGAAATCTCAGGAATGGATGTTGAATGTGGTCAATGTCAAATTGCAACTTGCCCGCCAAATTTGAATGTTGTGACAAACGCCATGAGTAATGAGAGCTTTAGCAGTGATGAAAATTCTCCAGCAAAAGGATCACCTGCAAGAGAATTTTTGCAAAGGTTAGTCTGCAAAGGCATTAATTTTCTTCTTTGTCATTGATGTGTAACAGGCCACAGAAATACTCATCCCCACCCTCCACCACATTGAAAGAGACGTAAGCCTATTTATAGTAAAGAGATATCATTTAGGGAAACATTTTGTTGTTCATCTTGTTATGCATCTCTAGTGTGAGGGCTTCCTTTTGTTCTTGACATATCACAAGGATAGTTGGTCTAGTCTTGTAGTGTCCCTTATGTCCGTCTTTCAACTCGAGACACATAACCAGACACTGACTACAAAATGTTTGCTCAAGTTCTTCCAGACAGATCATGGGACTTAAGTATAAAAGTGGCCGTATACACATTATCTGTTTGGACGGATAATGCACCCTCAAGTATAAAAATGGTCATTCACCATTGTATAGCAATGTATACCCCTTCCCCTTATAAACACGACTGTATTTCGTGCTAACTTTTGCAGATCTCCTTATCGTAGGCTTGTGGCCAACACTATGCCATAATATTCTACACCTTAAATTAACACCTAGTTACAGTGTAGCTCTTTTGGTACAGCTCAGATTTTGCTGAGTGGCATTGCCACTTCCACAATGTTATTGTAGTCACGTACCAGCAGCAAGTGCTTACTGCAAATAAAGATGTGAAAAGGATATGCATTGCTGTCCTTCAATCAATAAAATTTCATTTCATTCTTTAGTAAAAGGACAGAAATTGTTTGTTTATTACAAGTGGTTTCATGAGTATAAGATCATTCCAAACATAAGATGGATATTTGATAACCTTGAGTCTGGAAAAAGAAAGTATTGTTCTAGAAAAAAGTCTGGAAGAAGTCTTGTATTTGGGATCCAAAAATCAGAGCTGTCGCTGCAGTTAGTAGGAGGGAAATTGCACAGCTAGGAAGTTCTTTTGGTTCTATTTTCCTTTTGTTTCCCATAAGAGAAGCCAAGAGTAGTCACTCTCATGTTAGCCGCGGAAAATCCCCGGCCCTTGGCTTTTAGTTACAGCCCTGAAAAATCTGTACAAACCACTAACCTTGCTTGAGCTGAGGGGCTAAGAGAGTGAAAACTGTTAATATGATTAGTGCTTTGTGATCCAATGACAAAACCATGAGGTGTCTATTTTATTACAGACACAGGCCTGAGTACCAGATGCACTGTATTCCATCATACTGCCATCCAGGAGGGCTATGGGATGTCATGTTAGAGGTTTATCATGGACTATAGATGATTCTGGGTAGACACTGGCATGAGTGACTTCTAATGTGAATAGATTCATGAATATACACCTGTATATTAGTTATGGTCCAAGTTTGGTCTATGGTCTTGTTCAGTAATAAAAATTAATAATAATATTTTGTAACGAATTCGCAATACAATGAACAATATGCCCTGTTGAGAGGTGTTTTGTTCCCAAGAACTTGTCTATTTGGGATATCATGATCATTTTTAATTATTGTTCATTATTCAGTTCTATGTAATGTACAGTACTTACACATTTGCATTCTTTTAGTTGCTAGTTAGAGATAACCATGAGTGGCATTCTCTTCAGTCATCTCCAAGTTTGCTTCAGTGTACAGTATGAACATGGCTTGATGTGTCTCTATATATTTTCCTCTCAGATTGCACCCTATTTACTTTTGTGCCAACTCACGCATCTTACATGCACTTTGTCCACAGTATATTATATACAAACATGGAAGTAATGTGGCTGAATTATTAAGTATCGATATAGTTTGCATGGTTTGAAGTAATGATATTATTTTTGTGTTAAACCAGTTAAAAATCATAATCTGACACTATTTTTTTGATAAAATGTTGTTTAACCATACAGTCATGTACACTGTAAGTAATCTCTACTTGAAAATCTTGTTGACACATTTTCTTTCTTATGCCCCTGTGGTCATTTTAACAGTCTATGTGAACTTTCACTGCTTTGCCAGTTATGAAAAATAATGTCTTAGAAGTTTTGCTCCCTTTCTCTTAAAACAAATTAATGTCTATAAAATATTCATCTGGTTACTTGTATTTAATTTTTGATAATACATGTACATTTTATTTTGTATGCACTACCTGGAAGGTTTACTTAATGCATGTATTTCAAGTTATTTTTACTAGAAACCAGCTCTGTAAAATTTTCAGGTACACTTGGAAATAACATTACTAAAAAAAAGAAAGAAAAAAAAAGGCACTTTATTTGAGTGTCAATGTATTTAGCACAAAAGCACTAATTGGGGACACTATATTTTTATGTCTCCTTCTGGAGACAGGGCTGCCATTTTATGTGGTCCTCAGAGCCATGTGAAGGTCCAGCCATTTGCAGGGCAAAGGGAGTACCTCCATTTCTCAGTCATTTTAAGATCCTGAGTGTTGGTCCGGTCCCTGGAATTGAACTCGGGACCTCCCGTTCTGCAGTCGAGTGCTCTACTGACTGAGCCAATCCTGCCTAGGAAATATAATTTTTTAAAAAATATTGTTTAAAGCAAAATATTGTATAAATCACAACCCCCTTTTGCTATTTTGCTATGTGATATTATGTAAATAACATAATATTATACATGTAGGTTATGCTATAAATTATTGTGTTTTTGCTTAAAGTTCCAGTCCATGTGAAGTGTAGGACTTAATTTAGCCCTTGGAGGAGTACCTCTCCATACATGTACTTCCCATAAATGATAGGGGTGCTTGTCATACCTTTTGGAGAATAAAAATTGTGGATTGGTACTGCTTGGGTGGTAAAACCTAAAATGACCTGTGATGAAATACATGTAGCTTACATGAAGGTCCCTTGACCTTTTATAGATATAGTGTTATTTGAGTGTCAATGTATTTAGCACTAAGGTACTAATAATGGGAACACTATTTTTATGTCCCTTACTGGGGACGGAACCACCACTTTACGTCGTCTTCCAAAACAATCCATATGAAGGTCTGGCCATTTGCAGGGCAAAGGAAGTACCTTCATTTCTCAGTAATTATTTTGGAGAGCCCAGCTAATGGTCCAGCCCTGGAACTGAACCTGTTACCTCCCTCTCTGCGAGTCTCTGTGGAGGAGAGAGACACCAATAACACTACAAAAATATACATCTACGTTATTAAAGCACAACTTGTCTGAGTTTTATTTGCTAGTTACAGTCATTTTTTACATGAAAGATTTACTTCATAATTATTATATCTATTTTACTCATGTAATTACAATTAAGAAATTACATTTATATTTTGTTTTAGAAATATTGTACAACTGTACATATCCCATTAAACCTTCTTTCCATTTGACCCTGTGATGTACAAAAATGTAAATAAATAAATAAATTGAAAAATAAATAAACTTGTGTACTGAAAATTTTTTATTTCATTGCCATCTACCATAGCCTATAAGCAGTAGTGAGTGGGTTTCTCTGGAACACCCATGCTTCTTCTATACATGCACTGTGTAAGGCTAGGCTCTAAGGAAAATTGAAGGGAGCCCAGTGCTCTAAACCTGTAAAATCCAGGGTGCCCACCATAGAATTTAGAGTCACCATAGGCTCAATAGCTTATTGACCCTGTAAAAGTCCTGGAATTTTTTTTAAGTAGTAGAATGTATATATGTGTGTTTTATAGCCCTGTCAGTAATTTCTATTGCAGTTCCATTTAATGGGGCTGTGTCATGGCTGTCTAGTTCAGTGGGTTAATATGTCCAGTAACACATCTTTATTCACTAAGGAATTTAACGTTAGCAAAGACTTAATTGAAAATGACCAAGTTTCTCCTAAAGCCTACATACAACAAAAAAGAACTTTGTTAGGAACTGTTAGGCTGACAAATCACAATAGCAATCTGTCTTAATTGTCTTCAAGTTCATCCACCTGTGCCTTCTTTTGTATTTGCCTTGTCATTTATACCCTATTAATTGTTTTGAGCGGCTATTTTCTATGTTTCACTGAATTCAGTGGCAGCTCTATCTCTCTGTTTGAATTTTGATAAATTGCATGCCAAAGCCCTATCGATATAACTATTCTAGATCAAAATAATATTGCTATAAATTATTCCAATACTATCTTTGTTTTGTTGTTGCTTTTGCTTTGTTTCTTTGTTTGTTTTCCTCACATCTGGTACTGCAGTATGTTAGTTTTTTTATTTCACTTAATTTATTTCATTTTACATTTTACTAGGATCTCTTTCAGGGCCTTTTGTAAATAATTGACTTTTAAATTAATTAGTTTATTAATTAAATTTATGTATTTATTTTTTGTAAATTTTATTTATTTGGTTGCTGTATTCCTGAGTACAGTGGAACCTCTCCTTTAGGACACCTCTATTCAAGGGATACCTCCATTTAGGGAACACAAAATTTGGTCCCAGAAAAAATGTTCACATAATCTTTGTGTACAAATTTGTTACCTCTGGTGATGGGACACCTCTATTCAGGGGAAAGAGACACCTTTTTTGGGTTGCGAGTGCTGAGTTTAACCATTCAGCGGACACCTTGGCAATCAAAAAGTGACTGTCCACAAACATCATCGATAAGTTTAACTGTCCACCAGTCACAACAGAGACAGCTTTCAAAACATGAATTAATTCACTTAAATCCAATGTACTGCACTTGTGGAATTCAACACACAACATCGCAGAGATTGTTATCTAGCTGCTTGAAATAATGATAGTCTGAAATGTCATACGTCTCCACCCCTCTGCAGATTCCGTAGCCCGCAAGAGCAGATGCCTTTTTTGATAAAATATGTTATTCGTTGATTATTATTATTATTATTATTATTATTATTATTACAGTGTGACTACGGTACTGTAACTGGGGCCACTTAGACAAAGTTGACCAATGAGATTACAGGAAAATAACTATACTATGTATCGTTTCTTTCCTGTTATCTGATTGGTCAACTTTATCTAGGTGGCCCCGGTTTTAGTAGTCACACTGTAACAAACCTGTGCCCAACCGCCATCCACAGGGACACCTTTATTCTGGGGACACCTGCCCCCGTATTGCTTCTAGACCCCTCCCCTCCCTCCCCCGTAAATAAATCCTAAAGGCATTCTGGGTAGTTTTTGCCAATACAAGATGGCGGACGTAAGCGCTACGAACCGGCGTCTTCTCGAGATTTCTATATGCGCCATACTAAAAGAACATGGATTCGCATCTGCTTCTAAGTTAGCTTTGGAAACTCTTACTGAAATGCTTCAAAGCTGTAAGTAATGTTATTTTGTCTATGTTATGTGCACATCATTAAGCTTAATTTTGATAAAGTCATTTGACAGAGTCAATTGCATCGGAAGATCTATTTTCATTGTTTATTCTGGTCATCCCCCCAAATCGAACTCATACCTATTTGACTGCAATGGAAAGTACGTTGCTTTTAATGAAAAAAAAAAGGCGAGAGAGAGATCGTTTGATAGTTTTATGATCTTTTTCCCCTGGTGTTTTCTGTCATTAAAGTCTTTTCTTCCTATGTCCAGAATAAAGCTGAGTAGCAAGCAGATGATTTAATTACAATGTATTTAACAAATACATCACATTGCCCCATTTTCTGTACTCTTGTAGTCCATAGAAATGATGTGTAGGCGACCTTTAAATATTCCATTTTGGGTGGTCGCTTACGGGAGGTTCGACTGCATTCAATATTCCTTTTCTTTCCAGTATACTTAAAATCATAAGTGGCCCAAACTCAAAATATGACCATCGACACTGTTGCGTAATGTTCAAATTATAAGGATTTGTATCGGAGAAAAAAAAATTGTTTCTGTAGCCTACGAATGTGAAAGGATTTAAATAAAAAGAAGCCTTCCACGCAGACATTCTAAGGGGCTCGTCACGCGTTCCTGCCCCACAAACATCGGCTGAAAAGAGCGGTTAAATTATTTTCCCATTGTTCGCAAATATTAGCTGGAGATCATGTGCTGACTATCAGAGAACCCATCACTGCTATTGAAGTCAAAGTGTTGACAACCCAAACACAACGTAGAAGCTTGGTAGAGTGTGATATGTGACCAAAGAGTTTTGCTACGGACAAGAGGCTTTTTGTTTATTTCTCTCTGTACGAAGGTGTGTGAGTTAACTGAGTAGTTTGTTCTAAGAGTGTAAGGTCTCCACCTTTCATGAGACCTTTCTATACCTGCCAACTTTTTCTGAGATATGAGCGTGAGATTTTGATTTTTGAAGACGACATGATCATTTCCGAAGATTCCCGAAGAGGTCCAAAGTCTTCTGCAAAGACATCCGAAGTCTGCCAAAGGAGAAGTTTTCACTTGCTTTTCACTTCAAAAATCAGAGAGCACGAGGAAGGTATTGTCATTTATTCATTTTACACATGGTTTTCGTTCCTTACATGGGTCTGAGTTAACATATTTTTGGAAATTGTGTCAAGCAAGTCGGCGACAACTCACATGTTTCAATCAGGC